TTGTCTCCTTGCTATATGTATATACAATATATACATGTATAGCTCTCCGGGTAACCTAATCTACTTCTCCTTCTTCCATCTAGCGGTATACACGCGCGATAATCGTTTTGAAAATAGCTTTTTAAATTGGTGACTAAAAAAGCGGCATCAGATTAATACAGACATACACATATGTAAACGAATAGTTTTTTAAATAACATGATAATCGATTATGAACATGTATATTTTCAAGTGTGAATATGTTATAAATACTGTTCTGTCTTATTATATTCATTTTTCATGAAATACACAAAAAAAAAGAGAGAGAGAGAGAGAGAAATGCTTACATAGACAAATACAACAATAAAGAAAAAAGAAAAAAAAAAGAAAACGAAAGATGATTATTTATTATATCCCATCATCATCATCATCATCTTCTCTATGTGGACAAAAACTTGAATCAAAATGATTATCAATTAATTGAACATGAGTTCTTTTTGTTCTTTTCAACCATATATTAAGTACAGAAGCAAGTGTTCTTTGTTCAATATTAAATTGTGACCATAATGAACGAAATAAAAGTCCATGTATTGAACATGCTGGTGCAAATATCGATATACGATTACTTGATTGACGAAGATTTTCAATAAGTTTCAAAGAAAAATCATTTGAATTAATATATAATTTATCTAAATGTAATTGTGTTTGATCAAATAATGATTGTATAATTAATATAGATACATGTGAAGGAAATAAACGTATAGCTTCACTACCTAAAAAACATTTATATTGTGGTTTTAATTGACATGTTGATGGTATTTGTGTATTCCAATAAATCATAGCTTCATTAATTTTTGTTATACCATTTATACTACCTGAATAATCAATAAACCAACCTGAATCAATAATAACACGAAGATCAATTGTTGAAGAAAATTTTTTTAATAAATTAGGTAAATTTAATAAAAGACCAAGACCACCGGCTGAAAAACCTGTAAATATAATTTGTTTAGCTTTTTGAAATTGTTTATCAAATTTTAAATCATCAAATATAGCATGAAATATATCATAACCATGTGAATATGTTTTATTTGATGAACCCGACCATAAATCAGATGAACAATACGGTACATAAATAATATTATATTGTTTTAATGATGAAAATATACCAATGAAAGATTTTTTTTCATTCATATTATTTGATGTTATTAAATTTGGTGAATATATACGACGAAGATTACATGATTCTTTTGAATAACAAAACCAACCACCATCAAAATAGATTAACCAATATGAATTATTATTATTTGATAAACGTATATAATATGAAGCAATACTATCATCCATACAACGTGCTTGTGGATAATTAAATAATGATTTACGATAGAAATTTTTTTGTTGATATGTTGATTTAATAAAAGAAGAATCTATTATTGTTGCTGTTGTTGTTGTTGTTGTTGCTATTGCTAATGATGTTGAAATAAATGTTGTTTCACGATGATAGATAAGTGTTAAAAAAAATAAACTTGGTATAGTTAAACAAAGAAATAATATTGTAAGTCCAATTTCAATATAATATGTTTTATGATTTGAATTTATTTTAATTAATTCAGGACTTGGTGTTGGGGAAGAATAAGATAATGGTGAAGATGATACTGACGACGTCATCATTAACTTGTGTGAGTGTATATGAACAACTAATTTTAACTTTACACCTTCATTGTGCTACTCGTTATACACTCTGCTTGCCTTTTTTTTTTTTCTTTTGCTATGTATTAGCGAACAAACATCGAACACGAGAGAGAGAAAAGAAACGCAAAGAAAAAGAGAAGAGAAAGAGAGAGAGAGAGAGAGAGCGAAAAAGAAAAAAACTTAAAAGAATAGAAGAATATGAAACACTTTATGCATATCTTCATGTGTATAACAAATGATTATTGATGGTAGATGAACAAAGTAATGACAATTCTACACCTGAATAAGAATATTTCATGCTGTGAATAAATGAATTTGCTCAAGAAAAAGAAATTTTTTTGTCAAATGAACAGTCATTCAATTCAATCATCATCACGGCATGATATGAAAAATGAATAAATCCTATATTCTTGAACGTTATACATAAGTATATGCAGATGGTAAAATTCGAATGAATCAACAAGTGTAAAAGCTTTCCTGTTGAGATAAAGAGAATTTGTCTGACTGTGATTTACTTTCAACGGTCAAGTTCGTCACATACAGAATCTACACATATGTTTATGTCTGTCTATGTCTGAGTTTTTGTATTCGTCTACTGTCACAGTAGGAAATTACATTGTCAATCAGATCATATTGTCAAAGAAGAGACTTCTCTATTCAAATTGTTTTTCATCTTTATTTCGAGTAATAACAGACATCATTTAGATAGACAATAATAGATAACAATCTGTTTCTATTTCATGATCACTAATTCTACAATATTGTCGGTATATATTGTTTGATCTACTTAAAAATCTCATTGTATATACAAAAATAACCTGTTCATTTATCTCTTGCTTCAACAGTAAATAATTGGTGAAAAACGATTATTTTATGTATACCAAATGACATTCGATAGATGATAAGAATAAAGACAAAGAAAGAGCGAGAAATGAGATGATCCAGAAAAGCAACACGAACAAAACAAATCAATTAATCGTTTATAGTCTAGGCGGCGGCGGCGACAATGACGACGGCGGCGGCAAACATTTTCCAATATAAAAGCACATACGCGTGAACAAATTGATATTGATATTACTAGTAAAGTATGACTTACTTGAATATATATCAATGATTGATCAAGTCGAGGAAGAAAGATTGGAAGAGAGAGAGAACGAATGAAAAAGTCAAATGAAAGGATCTAAAAAAGAAATTAATAACAACACTTGATTTTCAATAAACACTTATATACAAGAGATTTCATTTTCATTCATTCTTACGTATATCTAAAATACGAAACAATGTTGCAAAATAATCATAGAAAGCTTCTTGTCTAAACAAAAAAAAAAGAAGAAATAAAATATCAAAACTTAATCGCCTTGAAAGATCTCGATCCTTATGCATAAGGAATAAAACTCGTCTTTCGTCAATTATATACATATATATGATTTATAAATAGAGAATATTATATTTTCGTTACTTATTTAAAAATAATATTAATCAATAGATGCATATAAAAAATGAGTTTTAATAATTAACAAAAGAAAAAAAAAAAAGAAAACTATACTTTTAAACATTTTTGTTGTCACGATATTGTATCTAATTTCATTGTTGACCTTTAAGAAAAGTACGTCAATTAATTACATCATCATAATGTTCTGAGATAAGGGAATTAGAAATGCAAACTATTCTAAATATGAATACAATAGGGAAAATATAAAGATTATTAACAATCTTTGAACATATTTATAATACACACAGAAATATCGTAACAAAAAAAGAAAAAGAAATCAACAAAACAGCTGATGACAAACATAAACCAATCGTGTTACATGTCCATAGATTGCGTTTCATACTGTCAGTTTCTTGTAACTGACAGGATTGTTGTTTTACAATTGTCGTATTGAACAGGCAATATTAGTAGATTATGTCAATCATGTTCATTATGAAATAAGAATACAAGTTCATTTTTTAGAAATTTCTTGTTAAAGATTGAATAAAATTAATAAGATTGTAGTTCGTGTGTATCATTTTGAAATAATTGTGATTCATATAATACTAACTATAGGAAAAAATTTAATAATAATAAAAACAAGTGTTTTATAGTTTTACTTGATTCATTTGATTTACAGGTCGTGGTATAATTTTATGTAAATCATGCAGGTTTTCTTCATATCGTTTTAAATCATATTATTGAGATTGAAGAATTTTATCCATTCCAAATTGATCATGTTTAGGTAAGATTATTTAAAGGTCTAATAGAGAGTGTTCCAAAAATCTGTCAGGTTAAAAAAAAAACACATGAATAGCTCTTGAACAGTTCAAGCGATTTTTATGAATTTTCTATAATTTCGTTCAATGTTCCTTTAACTTTTATTCGACATAGTGTAGATCAAATACCTATGCTTATAAACATTAGAATCAAAATAGTTTTACTAATGATTGCATTTAACACATAAATGCCGATGGTATTAAAGATATCTCTAAATGCTTTTATGAAACTAATACTTGAGCAGATGAATCACATTCTGAACGTCCTACAGTAATGACAGAAGGAAAAAGTTGATGCAGTCCATGTTAATAATGAAATTGTATCGGCACGAAGTGTTCCGGTTGTTTGAAATATTTTTTCAATAGCACTCAGAATTATGACAGAACTCAGTATGAGATGTCTTCACATTTCGACAATGAAGTACATCAGTTTCTAGTAATGTTGTCGATATTTTTTAGGGTTGGGTGGGACTAAAAATTCTTGCAACAGACGACCTATCAGTAGGCAGTCCTATCTTCGGAGCCTGTTTCAAATCCTATTTACCTCACAAAGATATTGCCAGAAAAAGGCAAATATTATTTCAACATCCGATTTCTGTGTAAAACTATCATGAAATTGTAAAAAGTTGGTAGAAATTCGGACATTTGTAGGAAGAAAAGCTCTCTAATCGAGAATCCTGGTTTTTAGACAACATTTTTCTTAACATGCGAATTCTAAAGAACGATTCTTTTCGATGAGCTTCACGCTCATTGCACTTAGTCAGAGATGGAACCGATCTGAATTTTTCACGACCGGTCTTGGTTCTAACTCTGAACTTATCATTTCTCAAATCTTTTATATTGTAAAATATTTAAGACAATGTCTTCAAGGTCGCGTTGAATTGATAAAAGAAATTTGTAAGAAAAAAAAATGCAATAGTTTGAGAATAGTAATTCTATCTAATGTTTCATTTTTCAAAAGTTTTAGACTTGTAAATTTCATATCAATGAGTGCAAATAAAATTCTCCGAAATAAAATTTTAAAGAAAGTCGAATAAACTGATAGAAAGCTCACGCGTATAACCTGCATTGCTAACAAGTTATTCGCATTCTTTGTTCTGACGAACTTTTGGAACACCCTGTAGATTAATATATTTACTTGTTGTTTGATTTTTTATGATACAAAGTTCACGATCCACTAATAAAAATATATTAGTTAATTGAAGAATAGTTTCATCATGAGAAATCCTTCGTAATGTTTCATATATATTAAAAATTAATGAACCTGAAATACTATTAAAAGTACGAATTAATTTTAGAAGTGAAGGCAGTAATTTCGTATATGTTTTTAAATCTGACGATGTTATTATATCGATTAGAATAAAAAATTTTGAAGATGATGGAAAATTATCTAATAGTTCAATATTTTCATCTTGAAAAATGAATAAAATTTCGTATAAAACAAAATTAAATAATTTATCATACTAATATGAATATTTAATGTACTAAATTTTTGTAAATAATTCTTGAGTTCGTTGTTTAAATGTTTCTTTGTTTCTTCAATTATTTGATATATAGATATGAATGATTTCTGTAGATTTTTTTCATATTCTAATTGTCCTTCAGCATTTAAATTCATTTTAAATCGATGGTATTTTTAATATTGATCATTGATTTATATCAGAAAGAAATTCTTTGTATTAATGGTTCATGAATAAATTTCGAAAAAAAACAAACTTGCAAATAGAGTGACTAAATTAGAATTTGTATCAGTCACAAAGGTAATAATGGTGTTTCATTTGGATTCATTCAATAGTAATATATTTGATTATGTTCAAGTGATGATAAAAGATAAGCTAATTCAAACGCAAATATATCAGAATCAATGAGTTTGAGTGATGAATATGATAGAAGATATTGAAAAATGGTATGAAATACATTTAGACGAAGACTTTGATTAAATTTATGATAAGATGAATGAATATAGGTCATGTATGTTGCATTAGTTTTGTCATCGAATGAAAATGTATTTTTTGTTGATGAACAAAAGTTTGTTTGCCAAGTTGTTTTTTTTTTTTTGTTACTAATTCAAAATCATTAATATTAAGTAATTATTCAAAAGATTCATTTGAATTATTCGATAAATAATTTAATTCAATATGTTTTTCATGATTATATTCATGTTTTGTGCAATGAATTGTCTTTTAATCGTTCATCATTGAATAATTCAAATTTAATTTGATTCTGTTTTAATAATATAAATAATATTTTTGTACAGATTATGTCACTAATTTTATATATGAATAAAGAATTTGTTCATTCATTGTAATATTTTGTACGTTTATGCCAAAGTTTTTTGAATTATTTGATAATAACATTCGATATTGTTTTAATAAATTAATTAAACACAAAAGACTAACACTTTACTAGATTCTTGTTCAATGAGACTTACATTTGAATAATATTCGAATTTATTATTTAGTGAATAAGTAAATCGATCAGCTAAAATAACACCTAACGGAGTAAAACCAACAATCTTTTATAGGCTTCATCAATGGTATGAAATAAGACAAAAGGAAAAGTTATAGAATTTTATATGTTGATGTATAAACACTGGCAAAATACACAAAAGAATACACTGTTACAAATACGAAATATTCCGTTTAGTTAAAATGAATATACTTTAACTAGATTTTTGAAATATTAGAACAAAATATTCATAAATACCATTGAAAGAAAGTATCTATTGTTATAGAGTATAGTTTGCAGAGATGGGAACAATTTGTATCTTGGTTCGACTATGATCGGTTTTCCTCGGTTGAAAAATATTTTATAGATATGCCATTTTTTTTTCTGATAAAACTTGTGGAAAACAAGTTTTCGTACTCTTATCAAAACAATCAACTAGTGTTGTTTCAAAAATTATGTTGTGTTTTCTTCTGTTCATTCACAGTCTTTCATTTGTTTAAATTGAAGTATACTTCATCTTTTAAAAAGTATAATCAAAATTTATGTTACTTGTGTTAAGCTTATCTCAGTTTATCTGTAAAATTTTAGTGAGAAAATTCAAAATTTGGAGTGTGGCAATTAGTTGATGGGTAAATATGTAGATATTACATATATTCATCTCTTATAAAACAAGACAGATATAAATCACTAGAATATGAGATTTCTTCCTGAAGATTTGTAAAAACTTGAGCAACAAAAGGAAAATGAATGTTCATCACTAGATTGAGCCTCTATTGTCGTTATCTAGAGCCTTATAAGCGAATTGAAAATAGAGCTCATTGCAATATAAGTATTCCAGAAAAGACACATGCAAAATATCTGTAGATATTCAAAATAAAAATTTGCTCCTAATATCAATTTTATCATCTGAAAGCATTTTGTGAACTTGCTGACTTTTATGAGTCGAAGAATATTTTTAGACCGGTTGGACCGAGCTGGTCTAGTGGTTTTTTTTAACCGGTTACAACTCTGATCTATATAACGATAGATTTCCAATTTTTCATGTAAAACTGTTTGTATACTAAAATGTAGTTTTATTCATATGATAGAATGAACTTTTTTATGAATATCATATTCTTTGGCAGTGTATTAAAGTCTCTCTTAAATGAACACTATCAGGACTTTTGAGAGATGTTCATCTATGGGAAATGTTATATATTTTACTATGAAATGAAAAAAAAACAGTTCTAGAATATAAGTTCCTTGACTTGTTTTGAAGTAATCGGAGATCATTCTCGGTGTTGTTTATCTTCCTTTATTTGAATGTTTATGAATTCAAAACTTCTCAACAGAATACAAAACTTTTCTGAGTTGCACAAAGTCCTGTATGATTGTTTTGATCTCGATATATGTGAATTTGATGAACGTTGCTCGATAATGCATTCGAATCTGTATTTATCAAATTTTCTTACGTTAAAACTTGTGAATTTTTGTTTAATACTTTGTTTTTGGTTTGTTTGATAATCATTTAAATATTCCTTTTTTTTTACGTTTTTAAATATTGGATACAAAACCAAGTAAAACATTAAATTTTTCAGCTAATTCACATTGTGATGACGCACTATCACCGTTGTTATCATTAATTAATTGAATTTTTTCATTTAATATAAGATATTATTCTAACGTCATTGCTTTCTGTGATTTGTACATTTATAACAAACAATAAATAGTTGTTTTAGTGCGTTAGTCATGAACGATGAAGAAAGACACAAAAAAAGTGCAGATATTTTCATGTAAGAGAGGATCAAATAATAATCGGAATTGTAAAAACAATGTTCAAATTCATAGTAGGAAAATAATCACTAATAGAGATTTCACTATATTCATTATGAGTGATCATTGATTTCAGCTTTCGATAACAGAATTTAATATAATAGATTACATTTTATACGTACTATCGTTTATATTAATCATTTTGAAATATGTATAAGATATCGAAATCGGTCAAATATAATCTGGACACTTAAACAATCATTTTATGTGTAATTATCAATTGATCGATCAGAAATGACCTATAACAATCTGTTTTAAATCAGATATATTAACTGGGTTAACAGTGAATTTTATTCTTTTATACCGACTACGATCAATCAATATCTTTCAAAAAGAAAATTTTTGTCAAACTAACACATTGATATCTTCAATCAAAATAAGGAAGAGCTTCAATTATGTATTTCAATAACATCATTATTCAGTATCATCGATTTTTATTCTTCTTCTTCAAATACATCAAAAACAATGGAAAGATATTAAAGTCAAATTAGTAATAAAATTCAAATTAGATAATATGGATAGAAGTACTTGTTTTTTTTTTTGGTCTGAAATGATTCAGTCTCTATTTATATTTTGGAATATTTATGCATAGATACCGTGATATTTGACCACTTTTTTTTTTGTTCATTCCAATGAATCCTCACAGCATCCTACTTACAAAATATCTAATTAATTCTGATAACGGAGAACATATAAGTTATCATAATAGTAGCTACGAACCATCATTTAGAAATCCTGTTCAAGGCTTATTAAACAATGACGATTTGAGCAATACAAGTATTGTTTTTCTTGGTTCATATATCAATATAATTGGAAAGAATACAAATATCTGTATTGAAGCTATCAACTTCACAATATTTGATATTGAAGTTTTCAAATCAACATGAATCTTTCTTTTTATTGTATAATTTAATTGTGTTGCATCACGGAAAAAAACTTTTCTTAATTATTTGAGTACATCATACTAATGAATTAAAAAATAATTCAAATTTTTTAGAGTCTATTAATAGAGCTCTCAATAGTTTTAGAAGTAGGAGGAACTAAAACTTTGACAGATAGTTGAAGGCAGTTTGTCCAGCAGAAAGTGCCTGAGAAAAACTGATAGATAAATTTTCGATAATAACTGGAAATTTTCGCGACGTAAAAGTGAGAAGAGGATGGCGTACTTAAGTCTCTCGCACATCGATAATCAATTGATAGAAATATCTGAAACTTCAAATTGATATGAAAATATCTGTGCAATATTGATTGTTTAGCATGAAAAAAAAAACAAATTTTATCTTGAATTCATAAATCCTACTTGAAATCAAATCCATTATATTATTATCATAAAATTAATTCATTTTCTATCTCCAACAATTTTTCTTATATGAACAGATTCATATTATATTTATACGAAAAAAAACGATAGAATAGTTTTCATCGTATTGTTGTTCTTTCTTTGACAGTTCTTTATTTCTTTTAAGCAAAATTGACATATGTCAAATAACAATAAAAAAAAAACAAAATAAAAACTTTCAAAATAGTAGATGAACATCATAACAATTTTTCAACAAAACTATAACAAGCTTAAGTTCTATAACAAATAAACAATAATTTTTTTGGTCCATCAAATACCAAAACAAAATCAACATAACTTTTCTAATTTGTCTAATATTTTTCTTTAAACATACCACATAGTATCTTGAATAGTTGGATCTAATTGAATAAGTCTTGTTTCGACTTCTTGTAATGTTATTGAACCCATACCATCAACTAGATCATCATCATCAAAATCTCTACACAAAAAAAAAAAACAATTTTTTTTGCTTTGATTGAAAAGAGAGATAAATTTTTACCCTTCTATACTACTTCTTCGATCATTCTCATAACTATCAGCATCACGAGATTGATATGCAGCTAAATGTGCATAATGAACAGGTGCTGGTACGGATACAGCTTTTGTACAACGTACATCCGAATGGCAAAGATAATAGGTTAAAGATTGTATTTCATCCGATGAAAAACCAATTTCATCATATAAAACATGATATAAAATTGGGTGTGATGTACCTTGAAAAAAAATAACAATAAAAAATATTTATTTAAAATTTTTCTTTTTAAAATTTCACATACCTTGAATAGCAGCATGACTATTTAAATAAAAATCAAAACCTCCTGGATGAACAATATTCGTATCAACAACAGTACCTATACAATATTAAAAAAAAATAACAGATGTTTTTTTGTAATAATATAAATTTACCAGGTTGTACATTATTCATCATTGTTATATTCGGATTATTTGAATTCGATTCTCGAACAAAAAAACGTGTATTATGACGTTTTTTAACAACAATAAACGTTATTTTTGGTAATGGATTATTCATATACAGAGCTACAATGAATCGAAAAATAAATTTCATTTAAAAAAATTCTTAGCACAATTCTTGTTGGATTAAAATGCGAACTTTTACTTAATTCTCCAAAAATACAATAAGAAAGCCGTTTATATATCATAATAAGAAGTTATTCATATACGACCTGTGATCATATATCAATAACTATCAAGACCGTGACCCAAGGGGAAAGTGTTGCTAAGGTGTCTGTATGGAAGGGATCCAAATTTTTATCCCTATATTTCAACATTTCTTTTAGGTCGTATTTCACAAAATTAATTTAAAAATTTTACCTTTACAAGCATTATGTAATGCACGTAGTTCATTATCAAGTACTTTTTGAAAGTGTCCATCATCAACACCTAAATAAAAATAAATAATTCGTAAAAATAAAAAGAAAGAAATCAAAATTTTTACCATCACGATAAAAAACAATTTTATTTGGAAAACATCCATTTTTTTGTGCAAATAATTTTAATAAATCAGTTGCCATTTGATATAAATCTTTAATAATTTCTAATGAAATTCTTCCACGTGCTGGATATTGTTCACTAACACGTGATGCATATTGTGTACCTGAAAATATTTTCATAATTATTAATTTTTAAAATTAAAAAATTTTCAAATGAACTTGTCGAATCAATTGATCCAATAACAGCTGCTATTGATGGTTTATCTCTTGAACATGTTGTATGAGTTACATCAGCACCAAAAAACATGAAAACATCATCTTTTGTTGATGATGTTAATGCACGAGCCAATGATACCATACCATTAACACCACCAAGTTTTGCATTAAATTTTTGTACAAGATTTTGTAAATACTAACAATTATAATATACATATTAAATTATGTTCAAAAACAAAAAAAAAGAAAAATATTTTCATACCATATCAAGTTTATTGATATTCTTTGCAATAGCAACAAAATCTGTACATCTAAAAATAGAAAATTCTTATGAAATATGCAGTATTAATATGAAACAGTTAACATTGAATGAAGCGAAATGTTTTCTACAAAATGTAAAAAAATCCAATATGGAAAAATATTCAATGATTGAATGAGTACTATTAAAACATTAAATATCTTTCTTTAGATAAGATCAATCTAGAAGCATGGAATGTATATACACTGATGATTCGTTTTTTACTTTCCATATACTTAAATTTATACATATACTGTTTAATCACATACAGGAACGTTGAACAGAGCAGCCCCGTAACTTTACTATACTAATACAAAATACATAAAGTGAACAGTCTCTGGCCAGACGATAGTTGTTTTTCAAGAATAATCGATCACATGAGAAATAATTTTCTCTTTTCTATCGCATTCCTTAATTCAACATAACATTGATATTGGTTATTCTTCAAAGTTATAATTTGATCAATGCATGTTTTTTTTTTAATGTTGACCTTAAGATGATTGTGGCAGATTTGCAAAAAATAAGAACTATATTATTTTGAACATTCACAAATGTGTTCCTGCCATTCAAATTTCGACTAAGATCTTGGAATGTTCTAGAACAGTCTAAGCTTTATTTTTAATAACGTTATTTCCGTTACTAAGAAACTTTGTGAAAGGAGTCTGTTGTCTTCGGTTGCTACGGAAATGTATTCAATCATCTTTGACCTCGGCTACTATGAAGATGGTAGAAGAAGAGGAAGTCGGAAAAATTTGACTTAAAACTTGTACTCATTATTTTCTTTGAAAATATATGCGAGTTCTACCACAGTGAAAACTTCAAAACAAGGAAAACTTGTATAGATTATAGTATAGATCGTCTTACAGTAAATATTTGAAGAGCGGTTATGATCACATATTTATCATGCGATAACCAATTTACATTCTTTGTTTTTCCTCACTCGAATACTGACGTATATTAAAATTGCAAAAACTTTCATGATGTATATCTTAATAATGAACATCTATACATTATTCCATATCGTTTATCTCAATTTCTTAATATTGTATTTTATAACAAAAAAAGAAAAAGAAACTTACTGAGTAACAATTCCAAGTTTATGATTTCCAAAATATTTAATTGTTTTATAAATATCTTCTCCAACACCATTAAGTATAAATAAAACAACTTCACAATTTGAACCTTTTAATTCTTGTAATCGATCATGAATTTTTTGTGGTATAGCTGGATCACTTCTCATTATTGGGTTTGGTTCGAAATAAATACCAAAACGTTCAATAACCTATGATTAGAAAAGAAGAAAAAAAAAAGAAATACATTAGACTTATTCTTCTTTTATTTAAAGAATAATTTACATATGGAAAATGTTTGACAAATTGTTGTGCAATTGATAATTGATATTGGTTCGGTCTTTGAGCTGAAACCATAATACAAGCCCATGTATCAATATGACGTGTTTTTTGAAAACGATTACGAATATTCCATCTATAAAAATGAATTAAAAATTTGTTCATATAAAAAATATTTAAATACTAACTTTCCAATATTAATACGTTCAACAACTTCACTTTGTCCATCATGTCCACTTATATATTTAATTTCTGGTGGTGCAATTAATCTACCTTCAACAATAAGCATTTCTTCATCATCAACACTCATACCAATTTCTTTTATATATTTATCTTCATTAAATTGTCGAGTTTGAACAATTTCTTTTATTGCTTGATATCGTTGATTAGGTCGTACAACGGTTTTTTTTGTTACCTAAAAGTATAAGAAAAAATAGTTGTTAGTGCAAAACACAATGTAGCTGCTGTTGATAATCACAGGAAGATTAAGAAAGTAGTTAATATATTATAACGAGCTCCTATTGATATACAGTCTGTGACAGTATATCGATGCCTGTCACAATCTGTGGAAAAAGGGAAGTGGATGCAAATTTCGACTCTATATACTTCAATACTCCTTTTAGATCGTATTTCACAAAAAAAAAGAAGAAGAAAATTAATATACTCGTGCTCGTTGATCAGTAGTTAATGGTTTTATTGAACGTTGCCATGCTTGTATTGTACAGCATTCCATTGGTAAATAATGAAATTGAGTTTTATTTGGAGGTGTATATAATTCTAATATCAATTCAATTTAAAGTAAAATAAAATTCTCTTTTTTTTTTTTTTTTAAACTCTCTTCTTACCAACTGTTGGTAAATTTGGATATTTTAATTTCATATTATATTTTTCAAGAAAATAATCATAAACTGATTGTCTTTCTTGTGTATCATTATTTGTACCATCGATCATACGTGGAAATGTATGTTGACGTGCTGATGCACCAAAACCACGTATACGATATTTTCGTATACTTTCAGTATGATGAGTTTCAAGCCAAATTGGTTTAAGAACTTTTTTTAATAATAATTGTTGTTCACGTTCATCGATACCTTAAAAATAGATAATAACAACAATAAAAACAAAAAAAAGTCGATAAATAGAAAGTAAAGATTGATCGATTACCATCACGAACAATATCATGTTGAAGATATTCACAAAGAAAATCAACTAAATTAAATGGTTGATAAAAACATGTAAATGTTGAATTGATATTTAATGTTGCACCAATTTGAGTTAGAAACATTGCTTGATATGAACCATTAGCTAAACCTCGACCATCGCCTTTTACAAAAAAAAATTAAACTTTTTTTTTGAATATGAAATATTCATTTTAAAAAAATATGAAGTTTTTAGATGATAAAACGCTTTACCAATATTGTAAAATAATCAATACTCTGACGTAAAAGAAAAGAAGTTATGTGTATGAAATCTCTGATAATTTATCTATGAATAAGTCCCTGTGAGATTAAGATAAGTTTAAAAAGATTCGGACTGATAGTCTGCTAAGGAAGAGTTGTGATTGAAAATTCAATATCTATACAACGGAAGTATCTTTTCTGCTGAAACTTTCAAAATATTCCACTAATTATTGGACTTGTTTATGGGCAAAATCTCAGATCGAAAAACCGTTATTTGATTTTTCGATAAATACCTAAATATGGATCAAAATTCAATAAAAACCCTCATGACATGCTCGTTTTTGTTAAAACCTTCAGGACTATCGAACGTGTCTATAGGCAAAACTTCACATCAAATTCCTTTATTTTGTTGTTTTTGGAAACACCTTGCTCTCAATAAAAAATTTATTCAAATGGGTTTAAAACTACCATGAAGCTGTAAAAAATTGGTAGAAAGTCGGATACTTTGGAAGGGAAAAGTTCCCACCTAATTGGGAACGCTTGCTGAAATTAATACAAGACTCTTTTCTGACACATTCATTTATCCTAAATAATCGAATATCTATTGTCTTGCATAATTTATTTCTATGAAAATGAATTTTGGTTATACAGAGAATAAATTTGTTTATACCTAAATCATCGAGCTGTTGATGTCGATCATAAAATTGATTTTTAACAGAAACCATTGTTGCACGAGTAGTCTGTTTAAGAAGTGTTTCAAGTATTCTAATAGGATCTCTTGGACGAATAGGTATTTTATTTTCAATAAAATCCCAAAGAACCTTAAGAAAAAAAACAAGAAAAGAATCATACATTATCTTTTTTTTTTTGTACTAAATCAATTTTAATATTTACCTGTATATCATAAGATTTGACAAGATTAATAAGTAATAAACGATATTTTTGTTCACGATCACTTTTTTTATCTTTAATCATAATTTCATATTGATTTTTAAAATCAACAAGTAATTCAATTGAATAAAGACTTTTTCCTTCATCATACCAAACAAATGGAAAATTTTCACGATCAATTATTTTTTTTAATACAAAAAATCGATCGTCTTTTTTTGCTGGACGCCATGTACCATCACGATTTGCTACTTCTAATTCAATATCATATTGATGACATTTTAATGTTCGAGGTATATTACATTTAAAATGATTTGTATACAATTGTAATTTTTGACCAGCTAAAATAAAAATTTAATAAAAATTCTTTTTCGTTGTAACAATCTAAAGAATTTAATTACCTGTTCCACCTCGATCTGGTCGTTTAGCCATTGTTATAACAGATGTATCAGGTACAGCTGAACGAATTGAATTTCTAAATGGACGTGTTGATCTAGCACGATTAATTGATGAATGTGATGTTGATTTAGGGTGTTGATCAGAAGATGATTTGTGTCCTGATGACGATGATGATGATGATGATAGTAAATGATTTTTTGTACCATTTTCTTTAATTTCTTCATGAAATTTCTCAGGTATAATGGCCATTGATTGAGATCGATATGGTTCAAGTGGACCTGTATCTTGTCGATTTGCTCTTTCTAAATAAAACAATGATTAAAAATACTCTAATACAGTAGTTTTGTCGACTTACTTCCACGACCTCGACCACGTGGGCCTGATGTTGACATGGATTTAGTTTTGAAATATAGAGGAAAAAAATCAATTAAATTTGTCTAAAAAAGAATATGAATAATCATTTCAAGAAAATACTAATTGTGTTAAAAGTTAAAATAATGGGGAAAAATAGTTTAGAAATTTCAATTGAATATCTTTATGTTTGATAATTTGGTAGTTGAAAAAAGGGTGGAGTAATGATTAAAAACCAATAGTATATAAGAATTAAAATTTTAATACTATTAGAAATAGGCGACATCTTGTTCCGCTTTAGAAAATAAAAATTTGCTAAAATGTTTCATAAGAATAATTCAATCGAACAATTAATCGATTATTTTTCTATAAGATTACAATTCATAGAAAATAATAAATGTAAATCATCGAAAATCTTTGCAAACGTATAAAATTCCTGTTACAGATTCTATATGAATAACTTTTTCGTTTATGAAACAAATGGAGAAAAATTGTTTTGAATAAACATTCATACACGAGTCTATCTTATGTTAAAAGTGAATGTCAAAAACAATGAAAGAAAATATTGTTGAAAGTTGGATGTAAAAATTTTGATCTAAAAACTTTGTACATATAGAGAACTCAACTAAACTTGCTTCCATAAAACAAATCAAAAGTTTTGAGCAAAGTCTCTTCGAGATACGAAACTTTCAAAAAATGTATGTGATATATACTATCCATAGAAAAGGATCTATACGTTGAAAATCTTATATTTCGAAGAGACTTTGTTCAAAACTTGTGAATTTTTTCTATGGAAGTTAATCGAATTGAACTCTCTATATATGCAAAGTTTCAGATCAAAATTCGAAAATATGGGTTCTTCAAAAACTTGAAGCCTCTAGAAAAGAACCTCAATAGCTTAGTCAAAAATCATTGAAATTGGAAAAGAACATCTGTCAGTGTTCCCTTGTAAGTCGTTATATTTTTGAGATTGCACCTAAATTAGCTGAACTTATAGTCGTTTGGTATTAGCTTATTTTATTTTATTACTCATTGTTTACTTTTAAAGTGTTTCGAGAATAGTTTGTGTTATCCGATCCTAGTTAAAAGGCAGGTTACCATTTTTAGAATAACTTTTGCGAAGAATGAGATAGAAAGCTGCAATTTTTACCATTCGAAAGAGCGATGTTCGGGCCATCAATCGATATGGAACTTATTAAGACGGAACATACTTTTTTATAGGTACCTTTGGATCAACACTTTTTCCTTCGAGTATTTTCATCAATTTTTACAATAATCTCAACTCAAATTATGTTAAAATGTAACTCAAATCACCCTTTTTTTTCGCTATAAAATTAATATTCGCCTTTTTAATTCGCTTAGAATAGGAGGTTGAAAGAAAATGAAATATGGGATAATTTTATAGCGAAAAAAAGGTGATTTGAGCTACATTTTGATATAATTTGAGTTGAGATTATTGTGAAAATACTCGAAGGAAAAGTGTTGATCCAAAAGTACCTATAAAAGAGTATCTTTCATCTTAATGAGTTCCATACCAATTAATGGCCCGAACATCGCTCTTTCGAATGGTAAAAATTGTAGCTCTCTATCGCATTCGCATCAGAAGTTGTTTGAAAAATGGTAACCTTGCCTTTTATTTTGGGTCGGATAATAGTAAGTATACATCAGTCGTACTTCTGATTAGTCGACAGAGTACACATTCAATGATCTTGCACTAATCCTTATTGATTCTTATGCTATGACTAGTAAACTGATACCAAACTCATTGAAGCTGATGCAAGCCTAGACCGTAGGCATTCGTAAAAATATTTAGACTTATGCATTGGTTGCTCAGCTATTTAGTATCCATTACAAATAACAATTTCCGTTGATACACTGGCCATGTGAATTTCTACTTTAAATATCTTTGTCAGACAACATTCAGTACAAAAAAACATACATAATTAGATTTACGAAAAGTACTAATATGTATTAGATTAGCTATACTATACAACAGCAGATTATGTTCGAGTCTTGAATTGTTATTATATCAATAGTTACTAATTCTTATCGATTTAATATGAAGACATTATGATGCAGGATCTCCATCATTATATTGAAAAACTAGAATTATCCACGATTTTCTTACAACAGTTGTTTGTCATTTATTATAACCGATATGTGCTTGTACCGTAAACGATGCATTACATATAGTTCTCAAAGTTGCAAGAAATTGTTATTAATCATTTTCGACAAAACAAAATATGGGTATTACCTAAACGTCAAACAACGACCTTTTACGGTCAATAAACTATCTGGAACAATTCTATTTCATCAATTACAAGCTGCATACTTGTTAATGTTTTCGATTGGCATGATAACAATGATATATACGTATATCACTATTGCTAAATTTCGATCAATGTTATTTGCCGATCAAATAGTAGACCATATTCATATGATTATAAATAGATTGTATTCAATATAGAGCTAGAGAAATGTTGGTTTATAGACAATAGATAGAAGAGTTTCACATCGAACACTTCTACAGATGTCCCTGATTCTCTATGATTTCGTATAGAAATATATAGTTCTAAATCTATGAATACAAATACAAATCATCAATATCTTAGATATTATTGTAGACTATCTATTTATTAAAGAAAGACACAAGTGTCTATGAACATCCATAGGATCAGCAATGATATATCACAACCAATAAAACTATAATAATTTTTCCTCTGTCTATATAAAAATATGACGAAACAATAATTGTAATAGATATATTTATAGATTCAGGTGTTTATATTCAGTTCTAAGGTCGTAGAGTTTCTACAACCTTCAATAGAGTATTACCAATAGATGTCACTTTTGTTTATGGACAATTACATTGTACTGTTTGTCTCATTTTAACTATTCATTTGAGTACTTTCCAAAAATTCTATTCTTTCATTTCATTTTCTTTTTCTAATTTGAAATTATTTTTCATCATTAAGAGTAAACATGCACTATTCTCTCTATTGGAGCACAATAGGTTTTTTTTTAATAATGCTTTATGCGTCACCACGTCATTTAGTATACAATGTCGACGTCACGTGGAAGGAACATGTACTAATAGCACGTGGAACTAACACGTGGGAAAAAAAAACCAACGAGTGTAGATTATTTATACAGATCGAATTTGCCATTTACTTCACTATTACATTGAAGATACATTGAAGTAGAAATGGTTGATATTCTGTGAATTTTTTAGATACTAAATCTTATTCGAATTCTTTTTTTCATTTATTAAATTAACAAATACTATATATCATGGCAAGTAATCTTACACGTACTTTCTTGATGGGTTCACGAGGTAATTTTTATTTTAATTTTTGATATTAAAATTAAATTTTACGAATATTTTAGTCGTACAAACAAGTTTTGTACGTACACTTGCTACTGGACAAGCAAAAGGCCCTATGGATTATGTAAAACAAGGTGTTGATCAACTTAGTCAAGCAGCTGAAAAAGTGAAAGAAGCTGCCAGTAGTGCTGCATCAACTGTTGTTGGTGCTGTTACTGGTGATAATAATGCTAGTAAATAAATAATTTTGAATTGAAAAGGATATTTTAATAAATAAAGTGAATTATTTGTTTAGATAAAAAAGTTGAAGATGCTAAAGTACATGGTTAGTTATTTCTAAATTCAAAAAAGAAAAAAAGAAAAAGAAATAACCATATTTTCTTAGGTGATCGAGCTGCTGAAAATTTTCGAACTGCAGCTAATCAAGCACAAGGTCGTTCTGGATATGGAACAACAAGTAGCAGTCCATCACGTTCTGGTAGTTACTCTAGTGAACAGTCAACCACGGAGAAAATTAAAGATAAAGCAAGTGAATATGCTGAACAAGCAAAATCAACAGTATGAATTTTTATATGTATAAAAACCAATAGGAATTTCGATTTTCTTTTTCTTAGGCTAGTGCAGCTAGTTCAACAGCTAAAAATTATGCTAGTCAAGCTGCCGATAAAGCTCGTGAAGGTAAATTAATTTAATATATTTCCTTTTTTTTTAAAATTTTTATCGATTGATAGTTGCCGATGATGTTGCCAAGTCTGCTAAGAGTATGTTTTATTTTTATTGTACTGTTTTGATCTTTCTTATATTTATATTTTTATATAGATGCCGCTAATAAAGCATCTGAATGGGTGAAAGATACTGTAAATATTTATAATAATATTTAACTTTTTTTTATGAAGATTTTTTATTTCATAGAAAGAAGATTTATCATCAGATTCTAAACGTACTGCTGATGCAGCTATTAATAAAACTCGTGATGCAGTTAAAAGTGGTGCAGATAGTGTGAAATCAGGTGCTGATAAAGCTGCCCGTCAAACCAAAAAGACCTATGTATGTTAACATTCTTATTGAATTAACCATTTCTTTTTCTCTTTTTTTCTTTATTTCAGTAAACAAGAACGAAGTTGATCATTATCAATTCTTTGTAATTATTTTGCATATCGTTCTATGATTTCTACACATGTAATCCAGCTGTTGTTAGAGATATTCGTACATCTCATCCTAAAAGTTTTTTTTATTGTCCTTTCATTTTTGTCTTTTCTCTCGTATGTATGTAGTCTTTTCTTTTTATCGTATTTTTTCGTACGAGTTTTTGAAGTGAATAAAGACAAGATAAAAATATTGTACATGATTCGAAATGATTGCCAATCCGGTTTTTAGCTATTTAGTTTGCTAAAGTTAATTCTATGAAATCATTTGCTTGTAAATGATAGTTTAATGATGTAACAGAAAAATTTGAACGGAAACACTTTCAAAGCATTTTATAAGTTTCGATAGGTTTTATTGATGAAATTAATTTTTTTTTTGTTAGAAAATGACGAGTGATGCGTAGTAGAAGAATTATCAAGGCCGTAGACTGTTAATATTATTGACTTTAATATTTCTTAAACTAAACTCATTTGTATGATCTACAGCATTCAAAGTCATTCATATAGAAAAGAATTTCATAATTGTGTTATTTTTTTTCCACAGATAAAGTTTCATGTACATCTTTAATAT